AATATATATCCTGAGCCTGGCATGGAACATGCAGGCAGGAAGCCCCCTGACTTATCATTTGGCAGGAGTGCTGGAGCCTGTTCTAAGCCATCAGGGAGCAGGAAGAGCTGGTTAGAAGTGACTGTTATCTGGAGTCTGTGTACCACAGATGCTAGGGCAGGCCAGACCGTTGACCGAACTGGGAAAGAGACCCGTGGCTGCCTCACCATGCTCATAATTCCCAAACTATTATTCCTCATGGTGTTGTTTTCACTAGGACACTGGTTCTCAGCAGGACAGCGGCAGCAACAGCATCACCTGGGAACTTACTAGAAATATAAATTCCAGGCCTCACTCCAGCCCTCCTAGGGGAGAAGCTCTGGGGATGGGGCCTGGTGATCTGTGTACTAACAAGCCTTCGGGGTGTGAGGGTTCCTGCTCAAATTTGAGATCCATTGTGTGTGCTAGACCAGAAGCTCACTGAGAAGAGAGGCCTTCTGCTCTCTATTACCTTTTTAGCACCGTGTGCAGCTCCTGGTGGAAGGGGTCACCTCAATAATATTTGTTGAGTGTTTGAAAGAAGGCATCTCTGAGGAGGAACTGAATTGTTAGGGACAAGTCTTCCTAGTGTAGCCATTCCGATAGGGATGAAGACAGCCTTTAAAACATTTTTTAAAGCTTTATTTACATTTTTATTTATGTGTCTGCCTGTGTGTATATACACGTGTATGTGTCTCTATGTCTGTGTGAGTGCATGCCACATGAATGCAGGTGCCCACCAAGGCCAAAGAGCAGAAGAGGGCATTGGATCCCCTGGAACTAGAGTTATGAGTGGTTGTGAACTGCCTGATGTGGGTGCTGGGAACTGAATCTGGATCCTCTGGAAGATCAGGAAATGCCCTTAACTGCTGAGCTATCTCTCCAGCCTTTAAAATTATGTTAAATTTCATTTAGTAGTGTGTGTGTGTGTGTGTGTGTATGTGTGTGTGTGTGTGTGTGTGTTATGGGGGGAGTGTATGCATGCCGCTGTGTATATGTTGATGACAGAGGACAACTTTCAGAAGTCAATTCTCTTTATTGTGGGTTCTGGGACTCAAACTCAAGACCAGCGCCATCTTGCGGGGGCCCTTGGAATAAAGATACTGAAGAGAGTCACCTGTGCCTGTCCCTTTGACTCTCAGACTATTAAAACAATGGGCCCCAAAAATTTGGAATTTCCCCAGGAATCTCCTGCTAGGTAAAGGAAAGGGCTAGAAGCCTGTACCAACCAGAGGCGGAGCTTATCTCTCTGAAAGAGACTTATACCTTCCAGACCCATTGCAGAGAAACTGGAGCTGAGACAGTGTTGACAGGCAGGACCATCCCCTGACGACGAGGACCATGCAGATGGATGGACCTGGGTGTTATCAGACCTTCTTGCTCCTCTTCCCAATGTAGCCACATTGAATGCATTGCCTCTTTCTGCCTTTCACTATTTGTCACTTTAATAGGCCTACTGAGAGTGGGTCACCAATCCCAGTTTGTGCCAGGGCCCAGGGTCTGACCCGAACAACTCTCTTCACACTATGCTCCCTCAGACCTCTCTGTAAACCCATGGTGGGCCTTCAGATGGAAGTGAAGTCATCCTGAGTCTCGGGGTGAGTGGCAGGCTGTGTCATGGGCTGTCTCCGTCTATATAAGAACATTCTGCAAACAGTAGCTCTTTGTCATCTGAAATTTTTTAACTAGCTTAAAAGCCAGCACCTCTCTCTGTCTTCCTCCTTTGATTTCAGGGCTGTGATCCAAAGTGAGGCGAAATGACAATGCACGGTCTGTTGTCATCCTGGTTCCTGCCAGTCCTATGAAGGCATCTTTCACTCGATCATTAAACATTGGCTGATTTTCTAATACTGATGTTGTCTTCACTTGAATATTCATCTTTTCCCACCCTACACTTAGTGGTGTCTTTACTCTTTTGAGCGTCACTCCTGACATATTGTTTCTGTCTGTACATGTCTTTATTTGAAAGAATCTGTTGTCATCAAGACTTTGCTGCTACAAGCAGGAGATGGAAGTTTTCTCTGACAGTCTGAGGCCGGTGGGAATTCTGCTAAAGGGTAGAAAGAACATTTAGGCCCTTTGTGGGACTGTCTTGATTTGGAATAAAATTGGAGATGTTTGGAGGGGTAAAAGAGAGGCTTAGGAAGAGAAGGGAAAGAGGGGAATAGTTTGAAGTCAGCAAGGAAGCAGGAAAGAGGGGCATGTGTAAAATTCCAGGGCCTCACAGTCTTGGGCTAGCTGGGGTAAGTACACTTTAGAGGAATTTCAGTGGTCCAACCTGGCTCTGCAGGTAAAAGCACTTACTGTGTCAGCTTGATGGCCTCAGGTCCATCCCTGGAACACAGTGGTGTACATCGGTAGTCCCAACACTCCTACAGGGAAATGGGAGGAAGAGCCAGGAGACTCCCCAGAAGCTCTTGAGCCAGCTAGCCTGGAGTACTTAGGAATGTAAAGGCAAAAGCGAGGCCCTGCCTCAGTTAATAGAAGGGCAGAACTGATTCCTGGGAATTGGCCTTTGATCTCCATAGAAGCACGGTAGCATGCGCGCGCGCGCGCGCACACACACACACACACACACACACACACACACACACACACACACACACACATGCAGGCACACATACACTCCCTCACACACACACTTAATAAAGACGAACTGCAGAGGAATTTCAAAGAATTTTGATTTTAACTCAATATATGTGATGGTTGGCATCATATACTCTAAACTGCTGTCTCTGGCTTTTGAGTGATGGCCCAGTCTTTTACCCGAATAAGCATAGAAAGGTCCCTTGGAGATATGGCTGGTAGTTTGGGGAACCAAAGGCTCCAGTTGGGAGGGAGGCATAGTGTATACCCAAATGATGTCTGCATCTAGACAATCATAAGTACTTGGTATCTGCTTTTCAATTTGGTTTGTTGATGCCTGTTTGAGATTTTATATTCCTTCTTTTTCCTTTAGTTTTCAGTTAATCTCTCTTTTCCCATAACTACTCTGTGCATAACCTCTGGCCCCTAGCTTCACTGACTTTTAATTGTTGTGTGTCAATACATATTCCCCATTATAGTAAGAATCCCTTTGGGAGGAGAGGTTGTGTCATAATCTCTTCTGCATCCCCAGAGCTCCACATGTAGTAGTTGTTCAAATAATAGTTGTAGAGCTGAAATGAATGGGCCAGTTATTGAGTTTATTCTTAAATTGGTTTCTAAGATGTAATGAGGGCAAGTAAGGAAATCTTTCCCTGCCTGTGAGCAGCTTATAAGTTAAATAAGGGTGTTATCTGGACAAGGAGATGACTGAGAAGTGAAAGCGCATTGGAATGGATGCTGACGGTGAATTCTAGGAATGCGAAGGAGGAAGTCGTGTGGGCTAGAGGTGAAGCAGGCCTTTGGGACTTGAGAGAATACTGAGGAGGGGGTGCAGGAAGTGACAGATTCCCTTAGAGCTTGTCCACTGCTCTTGACATTGGGTACTCACCTGTTCTTCCAAAGCAGGAAGGTAGGGCGTGGTGGGGTGTGCCTTAATTCCAACACTCAGGAAGCAGCGGCAGTTGAACTGAGAGTTCCAGGCCAGCTTGGTTTAATAGCGGGTGCCAGGCCAGTGAGAGCTACATAGTGAAGCCCTGTCTAAAAAAAAAAAAAAAACCCAAAGAAGGACAGAGTGTGAACAATTGCTCGTTTGATTGACAGAGGATGTGGTCTTGACAAGAAGCATCTGGGTCGATGACTGTCACTGAGAAGGAAGAAGTATAGACAGGTGTCTGCACTTTCATGCATTTATAAACTTAGACCCTGACCAAGCACATGCTTTTGTCAACTCCCTATGTACCCACTGAGGACAGTTCACATACATATCTGTTGGCTTTTCCTTGGAGTCTTTAAGGAATACTAGAGATTATTTCAAAGGCAATAGAGGCTACCCAACACCTGCTGAATATTAAGATAATCCAGAAATCACTCTTGCCTCCTGTTCAAGCTTGACAAAGATCTTCATGTGACATAGTAGAAATGACCCAGAAATGGTGACACAAAAATTCTCATGACTGTCTTGATTTTCCAGTGAAACTGTTCTCAGCTACATGTGTTGCCTACTTCTATCCCAGAGTCACTCAGCCTATCATGGCCCAGTTTAAGATCTTGCCTAGGACATCAAAGTCTCCAGTCTCACCTCTAAATTGGGGATTTGTTGTTAGATCAAAGATGAGAATGCAACATGTGACTCCCAGTAACGGTAGTTACCTAAACAGTACAGTCAAGGTGTAGGTTTGTCTTAGAAACTTCCCATATAACATAGAGACCCGGCTCAGTTTCCAGAATGAAAGAAAGGAATGCTTTAACAAGGTCCACCTGACTAATCCCAACTGGGTGTGTCTGTGTCTACCCTTGATACCAGTGTAATCATTACAGTGTGTTTTTAGAGATTGGTCGTATGTCTGCATAAAGTACTACAAAATTTCCCCAAGAACAGCTGTTTATTCTTTTAAAAAGAAGAGAGATAAACCAATGGCTAAGATCTAGACATTTGTTTGTTTTTGAAAACAGGATCTCCTTGTAGCTCTAGCTCTCTTAGAACTTGCTATGTAGACCGGACTGGCCCCAATTTCACAGAGATCTGCCTGCCTCTGCCTTCCAAGTACTGGGATTAAAGGCATGCGCCACCACACCTGGCTAAAATCCAAGCAGTTTTTTGAAAAATATTTTATTATTTTTATTTTACATGTATGAGTGTAGTATCTGCATGTAGATCAGTGCCCACAGAGATCAGAAGAAGGCATATGGTCCCCTGGAACTGGAGTTATGGACAGTTGTTAGCCACCATGTAGGTGCTGGGAATCGAACCTGGGTCCTCTGCAAGAGCAACCAGTGCTCCTAACTGCTGAGCCATCTCTCCAGCCCCGAGCTTCGTGGTGTGGACGCCCAAGTCTCAGGCCCATTACCCGAATCTCCACTGCCACCCTGATTAGCTTTGGCCTCTTCTCTTCCAGATGCTTTGTTCTGCACAAACTGCCTAAGCTGAAGTTTCTGGATGCCCAGAAAGTCACCAGGAAAGAACGGGAGGAAGCATTGGTCAGAGGGGCCTTCATGAAGGTGGTAAAGCCCAAGGTAAGCTGCTACTCCCTGATCTTCAAGCACGAACTACATCTCACCTCACTGACTGCTCCTCAGAGTGTAGGTGATGTCTTTCTGTATTTTGAGAGCAGATGGGATCTCATACCAGGGTTCTATCACAAACACAGTGTTGGCCAAACGTGAACTATGACTATTGACTCTGGTACTGTGAACCAGTCTAAGGGGACCTTATTTTTTAATATTTTTATTTATTATTTTTATTTTATGCATATGAATGTATTGCCTATCTGTATGTAAGTGTAGCTGTGTCATGTAGTGCCCACAGAAGTCAGAAGAAGGTGTCAGATTCCCCAGGAACTGGAGTTATGGATGGTTGTTCGCCACCATGTGGGTGCTGGGAATCAAACCCAGGTCCTTATGGAGACCTAATTTTTTAAGGTAGCACCACGAATGAAGCTCAGTGGAAGTCTACAGGTGGATTTTAGGCCTCTTCCTCCAGGCTTCCTTTTCCGCAGGTCTGGAGTTGAGAAAGGAGAAAATAGCAGGCACTTCTTGTTTCTGGGGCGGGTGTGACTGCTCTGGCCCTCCAGGAAAGACTCATTTTCTTGCTACCAAAGAGCATAATTTTCTTCTATCAGAGATGAAGTTTCTGGAGTTCCCTCAGATGCCATTAGCCTAGAGGGCCGTGGTTCTGAATTATCCTGGGGCTTGTGTGTGCTCCCTGTGTACAGCTCTGCAGAGTTCACTGGGAGAATTGGATTGGATCTTGGATTTAGACACAAGGAATAGTCAAGCACGTGTACAATAATCTCTGGGAGACATTTGGACCTTCCAAGAAGCCTGAAACTGGGGAGTGGACTCGATGACCCCTGATGACCCCTTTGGAAAGCCATCACTACCCTGGGGCACTGTGGAGTGCCTTAGTTACTGCCCATGAAATTGCAGCTGTGTGTTGGAAATGCTGGCACAGGAATCCTGAAGGTCTAGTTTGTCCTCACTCAGTGACTTACAGCCTCTCTGCACGCATTGGGAGTGATTAAGGGGGAAAGAAAAACCAAACAAAGCCAAAACAGAGCAGAACAATGAAACCTCTTCCATCAAGTCACCCTGTTTGGCAGCAGACCTCAGGCCACTTTCTTCCCTGAATCCATGAGGTGCAACTGATTTCCTGTTATGCTGAATAAAATTGCTAACAGTTGTGGAAATATATGATATGGAGGGTATAATTCTGGCAGATAAATGTATTGTTACCTGTTTCAGCATCTGGGAAATTAATTGAGTGATTCATTTCATAGCCATTAAAGTGTTAACAGTTCTCCTTATTGGAGCAGAGATTTGACACACTGCACATGGCTGCCTTTAGTTATTCCAGCTTTTGTCATGTAGTCCAAATGAAAGGATTTATTTCTTGGCCTTTTTTCTTTCTCCTTTCTTTCCTTCTTTTCTCTCATTTTCTCTTTCTTAGAATTTCAGAGTCAGCCAACATCACCCACGCCAGCAGAGCAGAGCAGATGAAATCTTTGTAATACCCCAGGTTAGAACCTGGTCACCCCACTTTTCACACTTTCACATCTACATGGCACCAAATAACTTGTTCGGTATCCGGCCATCATTTCTTTGGGATGGAAAGCTACACCTGGAGGACTACTGACTCTGCTGTCCACTGTGCTTGGATGGCATCTTCAGTGTGTGCCTGACTCTGTCCCAAGGTTCTGTGCTTCAGAACCTTGTAAGATAGAAGAAGGGACCATTGACTCACTTCACAGATGATGGAATTCAGGTCCGGAGCAGTTCATGGGGCTTCCCAAGGCTACCTGGTCATGAATTCCTAAGCAGGAGCTTTATCCCAGTGCCCGACATGGGGACCCTTCTCTTCTAGCTCTGTTTTCTTACCCCTGGAGAGTGAGTTAAATAGTCTCCCCGGGGTCTCTTGGTACAAATAGAAACTCTGAGGAAGGTCTAAATGAGGAAGACATGGTCTAGGACTGTTGTGCAGGAAGATGGGGAGAGCTGGAATCCGCTCTTACCTTTGGATGAGATAGGTGCTTTAAAATCTGCCGTCAGCTGGCTGAGTCATTAGTGACATCAGTCGACATGTGCTCTTCAGAATTTCTAATTGGCTTCCAATCAATTATAGAATTAGCTCATGTTTGTGTGATTGACTCAAGTATCCTTAGTAACTGTATTACACTTTAAAAGGTCCATTCATTATTTGAGGAGAGACAAAAATCCCCTGACAGAGCATGGGAACCATACATTCTGTTTATTGTGGAGTCACACAATTTTCCAGCTAGAGAGGTTCTCAGAAATACCTTCTGTTGTTTAGTGGGTATGGAACCTGCAAGGCCCCATGGTCCTGATGAGGGAGTTAGGAATCAAACCAGGGGTCTTGGAGTTCTGGTTAGGTATTCTATTTACATCACGATCTTTCAAGATCCCAAGAAGATCCCAAAGTATTATTGGGTTCCTATTAAACTGCACCTGTCTGCTGAGTGGCAGCTGATTCCCTTTTGTCTGTTGTCTTCAGAGACAGGCAGTGGTATTTTTTCCTGAGGATAGAAAGAGGCCAAATGAGCTCTTTGCTGAATTAATACATTGGCATTCAAAAGGCTGCTTCTCTCCTGTTTGCAGTGTGTATAGACATACGTTTGTTCCTATGCAGGTGTGTGTATACATTCCCATCTCTGTCTCTGTGTATATATACATATGCATGTTCTGGGAGGCATGTGTATACCAGGAGTTGGCTTCTAAGTGGAGAGCAATTTCCTTCCCGTGAATTGCCGATGCTGTGCTGCACACACTTGAAGACCTATTTTTCATAACAGAATCAGAATCTCAAGTTGGATTCTGTCCTTTCCGAGGCGGCAAGGACCTGTTGTGCTTAGTCAGCACAATGTTCTGATGGATGATCAAGGAGGCTGTGATTTGGGGAGCTGTTTTCATTTTATTCCTGACATAAAGTATTTGGGAGAATGGAAAATGCCTCTCCAATCACAGCTCTTGCCTTCGAGGTAGGGAACGGGCAGTCTGGGTGTTCTCAGCTGACGCAAATGCAAAGTCAGTCAGGAACTAATCAACCCACTATGTCACCAAGGTTTGATTTGGTACCTGGCAGGCCTCCACACTTGAGTGCGAGTTCTCTCTTGCTCTTTCTCCTGATGACACATTTTGTCTCCGTGGCTGCTTTTTGGCTTTTGTTGTTTCAAAGCTCTCTTCCTTCTAAGCTCAAATTGTCCTACAGAAAGATGTAGTCATTCATCAGAATCTGTTAACTAGTGTTACAATGGGCTTTTCCAGATGCACATACTGTGTGTGTGTGTGTGTGTGTGTGTGTGTGTGTGTGTGTGTGGTTAATGGACCTACAACAGCTAGGATTTGCTGGTTTTGCAGAATTTTAAAGAAAATATATACCTTTGTCAAATATTGGACATTGGATCATGCCATTGTCCATTCAGAGCATCACACTGGACATTGAGACATCTGAAGCCCCCAATGAAAGGCATCTGGAATGACCAGACCATGACCCCCTTCACCGCACTGGGAAGCATAGATCAAAGAAGCCTGGAGGCCTGTCCAGGAGGGCATGTGTGGCAGCACACCAGCCCTGCATGTCACAGAGGCTGCTCAACATCTCGACAGTCACAATTACTTAATTATGTCCTGGCTTTGTAATTATTTCATCCCTGTTCTGGCAAAGAGTGCTGTTGTCATTTCTTTGACATAATTATTTGAAGCCGAGCCTTCTTGTTTACAGGCATGTACAAAAAGTTGGCTACTGACCTGTTTGATCTTCAGAGCCTTAGAGAACCCTTGGGGAAGAGTATCCATGGGATAGCACTGGGCTGAGTGTTGCAGCCCATGTTGGAAGCACTTGGGCATGTATGATTTTGCTTGCTTCTGTGACCATTTCCTTATAGTGACCACGTGTTAACAGATATGTTTATGAGTGCTGATGTGAAATGGTATCGTGCATTCCTTTAGTGGGCATGCTTGGATTCCTAGCATGTGTGTACGTGTGCAGTTTTGCACAGCTTATGTTTTTGTCTGTGTGTGTGTCTTCAGATATTCAGAAAGGTGAGGGAGGAGGAGGAGGAGGAGGAAGAGGAGGAGGAGGAGGACAAGGAAGAGGAAGTGAGGAGGAAGAGGAGGGAAATGGGGAAGGAGGGAGGGCAGAAAAGGAGGGCTGGAAGAAGGGAGCAGTGTTGCATCAAAGGAATTCCCTTCAGTGCACCTGTCCCTGCTGGAGATCTTTTTCGGTTCTCATCCTTAAAGTGCATGTTGAATGTTCCCTGTGTCTGAGGATCACCTGTGACTATTCGTCAACGTCCTGCTGTTGACATCAACAGTCAGGTATAAAGTCCCCTGTGTACATTTAGTTCTTCCCATCTGGCCTTTGTTTGGGGGTTTCCATGAAAATGGCAACGTGAGATGAAGACAGGGAGTGGAATTACAGGCCAAGCAGCTCTCTGTCGGGGTGAAGAAGCTGCCAATCTCTGGGAGGCTAGCTCCATGAGGCTGGTACTGGGCTGTTTTGTTCAGTTTTGCATCTCAAATGCTTGGCCTATAGCAGAGTCTCAGTCAGTGCTCACCCAGAAACACGAACCATGAATGACAGTGCGTGTTGAGAGATTCATCCTGAAAGCTTGCATGTTGTTTTGGTTAAGGCTCCAAATGACCATCTAGACAAACAGAAGGGAATATCATGCCTAGAGAGTGTGAGAAGTTAGACCTGTGCATTTCTGGAAGAGACAAATTCTGGGTAACAGATTTTTTTTTTACAGATTTTGCTTTTAGAGTTTGCTTACGTGGGAAGTCCTATGGCCATTGTGTTCTCTGTCCCTTGGTTCTCCCCATGGACAGCACTTCTAATTGAGGTAAAAGTGTGATCTGAATCTTCCGTAACCCATCCATGAGTGTATTTCCTGACTCCTCCTCTGGCCAAAACCCACCTGCTTATAGTAATGCTTTGGAAAAATAATATCTTTTCTCAGAAATGTGTTGGAGCCCCTACAAGTCTACATGAAGCTAAAACA